AGTCTTCTGCCAATTCCTGCTAGCAGGAGGTAGAATCATAAGGCAAGCATGGCTCTTCTGTTCCACCAAGCTGCAGGAGATGACCATGACCCTTTGATCAGAGGGAACTTGAGTCAGGGCTCAGGGACCCTGCAGAGACTTGGCCAAAAGCCTCAGCTAATTCTCAGAGAGTCAGCAATTAAGTCAAACTCCAGACAGGGGACATCTCACCTGAGACTGCCCTGTTCCAGATCTGCTCTGTACAGGCAGATGTGCTCAGAGCATTTGCAGCGAGGAGTGATACTCCTGGAAATCTCAGCTGCAGTGTGAGGCTCCATTGCTGCTGTTCCCCTTCTTCACGTTGCCCCCAAAAAGGAGTGGGAATATCCCCACTTGTTTCTGATGCAGACTGACATGGGCATTTTGGCTGCCTACACACGTGCTTGTTCGTGTTCCAAGTAGAACACACGGAGCGGGCTTGGTTAACTGAATCTGCTCCACGCTCCAATTAGAATGCTCCCCCACCTTACCATCACGTGTATTAAGCTCCCATACATTTTTAAATGACCGTGGGGGCACTTTAACTAAACCTTGTTGAATGAGGTTTAGATTAAAAAATGGCCACAGAACACTTCAAGTGCATGGGGCCTTAATATATTAGTATTCACGTACTGTCTGGGAACCACTCTATTTAAAATGCACCCCCAAGCACATGGTATAGGTAGTGTTTAAGTCCATATTAATTTGCAGAAGTTATTCTCAATTTTGAGTGTAATAAAGTTTTGCAAACAACCTATTTCTCAATCCTATTGAAAAAGAATCTCCAATGACGTGATACAATCTGCAAGAGAAGGCTGAGAGGTGATCTTGTGGCCGTCTACAAACTCAAACTCATCGGGGGGACAACAGGAAATAGGGGATATGATGTTTACCAGAGCACCCCCCAGGGTAACTAAAAACAACAGCCACAAATGGAAGAAGAGCAAATTTAGACTGGACATCAGGAAAAAATTCTTTACAGTGAGGAAAGGAAGTGGTGCTGTCCCCTTCCTCGGTGGTATTTAAGAGGAGATTGGATAAACACCTAGCTGAGGTCATCTGACCCCAGCACTCTTCCCTGCCCAGGGCAGGAGGTTGGACTCGATGATCTAATAGGTCCCTTCCGAGCCTAACATCTATGAAATCTATAATCCTGTGCCAAATAGCAGGCACTTTTCAGCATAGCCTGTGGGATGATGGAAAGGTTGTTTGTTCCAGGACAAGTGCTGCTCTCAGAGGGCCCCAGAGGTCTTGTCCACCCAGCTGAGAAGGAATGAAAAGAGGAGTTCAGGAGCAGCCTATAGTAGCAGAGAGTAACCTAGGACAAAAGCAGAACAAGAAGTGCCAACCTAGCTACTTCAGGGCAACTGGCACAACTATCATGCCACTGCTGCTGCCGGCAAAGTCTGGGCTCAAGCTCTTGGAGGGCCAGTGCGACTGCTGTGGTTCACATTGTTCAGCAAAACAATTAATACAATCAATTACATTTCAAGAATGTCTTGTCTTGTGAATCATTGGGCCATTAACCTGAGCAGCCCCGGTGTATATTCCCACCATCAACACTGCCTGAATAATCCCCAGGGGAGTAATTAAAAGCATATCACATGGAGAAATGTGTAATGCATTATTGGATCCTAATAAATACAGCAACCCTCTAGCACACTGACAGTGATTTAGAAAGGAGCTGCTAGATATGAGAGAAAGAGGGAGGGCAAGAAGGGAGATGTGGGGGTTGTTGCTGCTAATCCTCTGCTGTAAATTTACAGGACATGCATGTATCTCTTTATCCCCTGACATCCATACTGAGGCTAAAGACAGGTAGCAGAAGTGAAGAATGAGCTCAGTCACTGAAAGTCAATGGGACTTAGGCTCTTCCGTCTATTAGTTTTGAACACCGGACCCAACTGTTTAAGGGACTTAGGCAACAGTGCCAAGTGAAAAAATGCCTAAAAAAACTTTACAAGTCTGGACCGAAACCCCTCCACCAAAGTTTCCCATTACTGATACTCAGTGGGTATTGCAGTTATTAATAATGCTTCAGACAGAGCAGACGTTATGGAAATGCCAAGTGTTACAAAGGCAGGTTAAAACATCTGGAGCAGCGGGATGGTTTACTGCAAGAGGCACCCATCGTTGCTGGCCCTCTGCTGACAAGGCCTCACTCAAGAGGCAGTGCTCTCACGGCCATGGAAGATTATAGAAGGGAAATAATACTCAGCTCACCTGCCTTTCCTTTCCTTTCCATTTCTTTTCTTTTCATTCCTATAAATCACTTACTGTCTTCTTTGAAAGCCTTGATTTAATCTGCACATTGAATAAATTAACTATATTTTGCTAGGAGTTAGGTAGTCATGTAAAACAGAAACATGAGGCTAACATCTTACTATAGTTCTTGTGGGCAAATATAATGACTAACATTGTTCCCTTCCTCTCTGCTGTGTGCTTTGTCCACCAGCTGTAAATCTACTTAAGTTGGCTAAATATGTTCTTCAAAGAATCATGGAGGTTTGAGATGCAAAAGACACAGGTGCATCCCATCCATCCCTGCCCACACAGTCCAGAACTCGTCCTGCTGATTCCACTAACTTTATCTTGTCACCTAGTTGCTGATGGCTTGTAGGTTAACACAGTATTCTGGCTTGCTGCTCTAAGGAAACTATACAAAGCTCCTGTCCGGTCAGTCCCACGGCATTCCAGCAGACTCCTCTGAAGAAACAGTGCTGAAGTGGCAGCAGATTAACTTTCAGTGGCACAAGTCTAAAGCCACATCCAAAGTCCAGCATCAGCAGGCCAAAAGGCAATTGTTCCCTGCCATACTGCAATTTCCTCGTTCTACAATTGAGCCCCCCATTAACTTTCATAGGTAGCAACTTTCCTGCTAGTTTTAAAAAGGTTCTCAAAGTCCAAGCACCCAGGAGTTCGAGGCATGGACCAGTGCCCCGGTGTTCTTGGTGCTTGACAGACACAGAACAGACAGACCCTGCCCCAAAGAGCTGTATGCATTAAACAAGAGACAACTGACGCATACAGACAGGCAGCAATGAGACAGTCCTGGTCAGTGCGACAGGCAGTAGTTAAACAGCCTTAACATTGCTGAGCTTTAAGACAGGGGTTGGAAAAAATACTAAGTTTGCTGGTTTGTGGATGCCAACAGAGCACAGGGCTGTGACATGCTCAAAGAGATATGCTAAGAAAATGATCCTTGAAGCAGTGTTCTAATGAATACAAGGGGCAAGACTGCATTTGTCATGGTGAGGGAAAAGAATGTTGCAGTAATACACACATAAGAAGTAAGAATCATGAAATGATCAGCCCTTGGACGAGGGTTTATAAATGACAAACCAGGCCACAACTAAATCAAACTACAAACTAAGGTACAAGGTACCTTACTCAGTGCTTATATGTTTGTGCCTCAGTGCATACTTATTTGCAGTGCCATGTTAATGATTTTCAGTCATCCTAATTGCATTACCTAACTGCTAGCCAAACTTGCAGTAGGCAGGTCCTCTGCCTGGCAGATCTATCAAGTTGTTCAATAAGCAATCACCACATGAGCAAAAGGGAGAAGCAAATACAAAGTTAAGGGTGCAATCAGGTGCAAGTGCTAACTGCCACAATATGCATCTACTATGTTGTATATGGAAGCAACAGTTAATACAATTGGTGCTGAATTATAGCATACAAAAAAAGAATAGTAATAGATCCTCAGAGCAACCTCACTGCATGCCCCCCACCTTCTTTTATTCAGTTTCAGAATAAACAGATCCACTTGATGCTGAAACCAAGGCTTTAGGATTCCTATTAGCTCAAGAATAAATCCCACAATGAGCATGGACCTTAAAAGGCATCCTCACAAATGAACTAAAACAAACAGGAGGTTCCCTACCTACAACACTATCACTACAGAATACAGTTCCTACCTTTCCATTCACAGGGAAGGAATGAACACAAATACACAACCCTGGAGTCCCTGAGCTGTCATGGCAATAGTTTATGTGAGGTTGTAGGATACCTAGCTCCCACTGATCTGAACCCTACGTAAAAGCCTAGGCCAGGGCTGTCCAACTGGCAGCCGGCCAGCCACGCGTGGCCTATGAGAGGTTAGTTAAGTAGCAGTCCCTGGGCTCTTGCCCAGTTGCCAGTCCTCCCACTGCCCTGCCTGCAAGAGCAGCCAGTCTCTGAGCAGCCCCTTCCCTTAGCCAGAGAGATGCCTCCCTCTCATGCTGCCCTGTAATAATCACATTGCAGCCTCTTAAGTGTAAATGTCAAGATGATCAAACATCCAGAGCATTGCTGCCATTGAACAAAGCAGCATCTGCTTTCCCCACTTGACCTCTTTGTATCACATCTCCCTGCCTGCCCAAGGACTATAGGGGAAGGTTGTGTACAATGAACACCTAACAGCCAGAAAAGAACATTTCTCCCATGTTGCGAGGTGTCATATGGACACCGCCATTAGGTGTTATCACATAATGACAGGGACACAATGATCAGAGCTCGTGCCTCTGCACGTCTGCACTGCCAGCTAGCTCCGACTGCAAAAAATGAAACCCTACTGGCTGGTCATAAAATTAATGTTTTGAAAAGGCACACTTTATAAATTCAAAATGATGAAAATAATTAATTAATAAATAGACTGTAGATTCTTTCTACCCCACTAAAGCTTTTGGGAAGAGCTGGCATGGTGAGAGCAGGAAAAGGAGGTACATTCCAGCAGTGAGTATGTGACAGACAATGGAGATGACATTTTTCTAAGGAAGAAGAATAGGTCAAGTAGCCTTCCTTTCCAATAGAATAAGAAATGTAATGTCAGCTTAAGGAACTTAAAAGTTGTTAGCAGTTATATATTACCAGCAACATATTTTACACTAGGCAGCTATGAAAAAAAAGAGTCATAAAAAATGCAATTAAATGTCTGAACTGTTGCTATTTTGGAAATTAAAACAACACACAGTATCCTTGCTGCAGCTTATATTACTTACTTATGACTTGTGCACAGTTATTTTCACCAGTTTAACCATGCTTCTTTTCCATAAAAATCTGTTGTTAATAGGTCTCTTGGGAACTCTGAAAATAACAAGATCTGTAATAAAAAAATTAATAACAGTGAGAGCAAACTTAAGTTAGAAAAGCTTTTTAGAATACATTAAAGGTTCTATTTTGAAAAAGAAATATTTGCACAGAAAACCTCCACTGTTTGATTTTCTACACAGCACTGTGCAGCAGGTAAATCAAAACCACCATTCTTTGAAAGAAAAAAAGGAAAAAGTGCAAACTCCAGGAGGGGCAGCATGACCATGGCACAACATCATTGCTGATGGTCACCGAGAACAACACAGGATGGATTTTCTGTTGCTTAGTTTCTTAAATTATTTCTCTCGATTCAGTAATGGAAAACAGTAAGAGCTGCCAGGTAACAGATTGGTTACACACACATTATTTCTACATACAGATGCATTCAATGCAATAAAACTTCTAAAGACAGTACATTTTGAATCTGTCTCATCAGAAACCACCGATTCGTGTGGTGCACACACCACAAAGAGAAGGTATGCACTAAAGGACACAGGAATAACCCTGGTTCTACAGGATTTCCCACCACAACAAACTAAGCTGCCTTCTGGTAGAATCCATTGTTCTGCACCTCTGTGCTTTCTAAAGCTAACGACAAGCATTCTCCAACTAATATATAAAATCTGTCCTTTATTTATAATAGTAATGTACAATGCCTCTTAGGCATGACCTTTTTGCTATATCCTGGAACTAGATTCACAGTTTTCCACCATGCAATGTTGAAAGGTCTAATTTATGAAATCACAATGTTAGGATAAGTATGATGAAGTCCTGTGGGTATGTTGTGCAGGAGGACATAACAGATGATCACCATGTGCCTTATGACACATGTATCTGTGAATCCTGCAAACTAAGGTCCTGGCAGCCTCGGCTCTTACCGGTTTGCCTTTTCTCCGCTGCTCATCCACTTAGACAGACTTCTGTTCACCTGGCGGCTCTGATCCTGCAACAAACATCACAGAGCACTGACAATTGTGATTCTATGCCAGGAGGCCTAGAACAACCCACTGTGAGGAGAGATTTAACAAAGGCAGTGAGCTCTAGCCACTCTGCATGGTCCTTAGACTGGTGTGGCCCACCAGCTGAGTAACCTGTGTGCAATCCCTGCACCCAAGGGAGTGCGGAGGTCACTCTGTCCCCACCCCCTTGAGGTCCACTGCCAGTTCATGCCCTGTAGTAGACCAGGCTGTGCTCCTAAGGGTACAGTAACAAAGGGTGTGCGTAGATGAAACGGGGGCCCTCAATTGAAGTGGTGGTGCCAGGAGTTCCTGTGTTCCAGGGGCAGAGCTTGGGCTGGCGGGACCATGCCCCGATAGTACTCTGAACTGTGCCCCAATCACTGCAGTCTCACTGCTGGTTGGGACATAAGAAAAACTCTCCTCCTTCATGCCTAAGAGGCAACAGATTTAAAGGCAACACTCTTTTTACCCTTGAATAACCAATGTAACTCACTGCCAGAGAATACCGAGACAAAAAGTATGGGTAACAAATATCTGTTGTGCAAAGACCAATCTCATCTTCCCTCATGAAGTAATTACATAATCATAATTTATGACATGTTCTGCACCTTCACATGCAGCACCTTGCAAAGCAGGCTAGGCAGACTACTTATCTGATCCAAGTGGCTGTGCCCATGTCCCTCCACCTGACTAAATCACTAGGTTTGAGAATCCTGTTGAGATCAAAACAAGGCATAATATGTAAGCACTAAACTGCCTGTCTATGTCCAGATTGTCAGACCTCCAAAGGGAATGGGTCCCTCACATTTCCACAATCTCTACAGGGCAGCACAAATGTCTGGGAGCCTGTTGGCAATATTTACTCTGCCTTGATCCAAAGCACGATATGCTTTCACTGCCACCAGTATCTCAGAAGCAACACAGGACAGACATGAAGTCAAAGGACAGATGTATTTGGAAAGTTAGACAAAGGTGGAAAGGTTTTTGCTCTAATGCTTTATGCCTAGCATTTCTCTATAAGACTGTGATAACTGGCAGGATATTATCACTCTCTTCCCAAAAGACCATTAATGCTTCTTCCTCTTTGCTGCTGACTCTAGCCAAAGAAGTCTGGATCTTATGGGTGGTTGAAGTGAGCTAAATAATTTTTGCTGTTATTGAAAATCCTGACATCTGTAGAACAAGTATGCCATGACCACAGGATACTGATGGCAGGGGAAGATAAATAAATAAAACAAATAGAGTAAAAGCCCTTGATAGCTTCTCTAGCTTTGAACCTCACAACTATTCCTGTTGCAGATGCTTCTGCTGCTGCCGCCTTTCTCAACATTAGAAAAATGTAAGTGAGAGGGATATGAGACAGGACCAAGGGCTGGGATATATCACTCAATAGGTCTCTCAGTATGCCCAGAGGAACCATACAGAGCATGAGATCCACTCAGAGAAATGCTGGAAGCAAAGTTTGCTGCAGGAATAAATCAGTGACCCTTGCAAGACAAGTACCAGTTGAACTGTTTTCCCATCGCTCAGCTGTTGTGGGAAACACGAGGCAGCTGTGGATGCATTACACATGGTTATGGTGTTTGAAGATTAAAGGGATTTGTTGCCACATTCTGTATGAACCCTCAAGACTAATGATGTCGAAAGCACAGGGGGGAAATCCCTACCCTTTGCAAAATGGTGGAGATGCAGCATCTTAAAAGAGCTCCTGCCATACACAAAGGGAATGGGCCCTGCAGAGAGCTGAGAATGAATTCATTTGTTGGCCACCACCCCGACTCCTGCCACCACCATGTTGGGGAGACTGAAACACTCTGTAAAACTCTAGCTTGACTAGTAAACACGACCTCGCCTGGAACCCCCAGGCATATAGTCACCGCAGGCTGTAACACACCACGGACAACTGGACAGCTCACCATGCAAAAGCCTTGGGAATGGGTCGATCTCTGATAGCTGTGCTTGAGAGGAGGCATAGGTATGCTTCTGGGTGCTGCATGCCAGCCCTCCAAGCACTCAGAGCTTTCTTTGCTTGGACAGTATTTGTGACTGTAGCTGTACTGAGGAAAACCTGCATCTGTACTATGAATTTGAGATGATTCTATGCCTGCTGCATCTGTGGTCAAGATGTCATGCCTGGGAACTAAGACAGACCATTTTTGTAATCTTTCCTTTCAGCAGAGACAATATTTTCAATCCTATGTCAGTGCAAGAAGTGATACAAAACAAAAATTCATTTGACACTACCAAATACGATCACCCCCAAAGGCATGATGGCCGTGTTTCAGTCAGCTAAAGACAGAACAAAAGAATTCAAAGTGTTTTTGTTTTCATCGAGGAATGGCCAAGTTCTCCAGTGCCATGAAAACAACTCTACAAAGGAGGAATTCTCACACATCTGGGCAGCTGCACCTTGCTTTCATTCTCCTGAACGCAAGGTTTTCTGCTGTGGATAGATATTTTAGAAACCAAAACTTCTGCTACAGGGCCTGCGCAAAGACCAACAGGTTATGTTGCCATTGCAGCTCTCCTTATTTACTGCTTGTTTGCTAGTTTCCATCAGCTCCCATAAGGTGCTAGAGGGGATGTTCATATTGTCATGATCCAAGAAACTTCTAACAATCTGAGACTCATAATACTAATGGTAACAAGAAGCATTTTTGGGTAATACTTACTGTACATGAAGCAGTCAAAATCATCTGGTTTTAAAAACCAAGGACCGCTGGATATTTTTAGATGATCTGGCAGCAGTGAATTTTGAGACCCAGGTCTCTGATAACTGATGGCAGCCTCAATGGATTCAGAGCAGAATGCTGGTACTGACAAAATTAAAAGATTAGAAGATCATAAGTTACAGAAATGCTCTCTTGCTCTCTCCCTCTGAAGAGCAATTTTGTGTAACTCAGAGCTTTCTTAATACACAGAGAAGTAGATGGTTAGCTAATGAAACCGACATCTGGCGCTCCGAAAGAGCCAAGAATGTTCTTACAGAGGTCACAAGGTGAGCTGCAGAGTCACAGAATAAAACGAACAGAGAGATCTCATGTACTGAGTATCATATTTCTGAACATATCCTTGACATCCTGTCATATACAAATCACCACTAGTATAAATGAGTCATAATAGCAGTTCTCTTTGAATGTTGTGCTTTAATGTACAACATTTCTCCAAGGAATGTACAGTAGTTCTCCAAGGAAATTCCTATTTTTGAAGAGTCTTGAAAGCTACCCATTTTTTTTAAACAATGCATTCAATATGAATGGTAAAATCTAACAAATTGAACCTTATTAAAATGGTCACAAATCAGCAGACAGCCAGTGCAGTGGTCCCAGGTAGGACCATGAGCATAATACCAAGACACTTCCTTCTTTGTACACGTAAGGACAATATCAGCAAAAGAGCTGGGTCAAGCCAAATGGATCTGGAGAGGTGTTCTGCAACATTAACATCCAGAATTTTCTCTGCACCACCAAAGGTCTCCCAGATATAGGAGACTTCAGGAAGGCCTTCGATACGGTATCCCACCCCATACTGGTGAACAAGTTAAGAGGCTGTGACTTGGATGCCTACACAGTCCGGTGGGTGGCAAATTGGCTGGAGGGTCGCACCCAGAGAGTCGTGGTGGATGGGTCGGTATCGACCTGGAAGGGTGAGGGCAGTGGGGTCCCGCAGGGTTCGGTCCTTGGACCGATACTCTTTAATGTCTTCATCAGTGACTTGGACGAGGGAGTGAAGTGTACTCTGTCCAAGTTTGCAGATGACACAAAACTGTGGGGAGAAGTGGACACGCTGGAGGGCAGGGAACAGCTGCAAGCAGACCTGGACAGGTTGGACAAGCGGGCAGAAAACAACAGAATGCAATTCAACAAGGAGAAATGCAAGGTGCTGCACCTAGGGAGGAAAAATGTCCCGCACACCTACTGCCTAGGGAATGACCTGCTGGGGGGCACGGAAGTGGAAAGGGATCTTGGAGTCCTAGCGGACTCCAAGATGAACGTGAGTCGGCAGTGTGACGAAGCCATCAGAAAAGCCAATGGCACTTTATCGTGCATCAGCAGATGCAGGACGAATAGGTCCAAGGAGGTGATACTTCCCCTCTATTGGGCGCTGGTCAGACCGCAGTTGGAGTACTGCGTGCAATTCTGGGCGCCGTACTTCAAGAGGGATGCGGATAACCTGGAGAGGGTCCAGAGAAGGGCCACTCGTATGGTTAAGGGCTTGCAGGCCAAGCCTTATGAGGAGAGACTGGGGCACCTGGACCTCTTCAGCCTCTGCAAGAGAAGGTTGAGAGGCGAACTTGTGGGTGGCCCA